AAACATCACTATCATTTTGGAACAGGAACCATCTTCTGCACTCAAGATAACTATGCCAAACCTAACTAGGGGCCCAGAACACTAGAATTTCATTTAGCATTTTTATTCTTTTTCCCTTAGATTTCCTGTGCAACCTCTTAATCTGTCTTTGCCCTCTTTGTTTCTTAGAACAAAGGAGTGCTCCTCCCCAATTTTTTCTTAGAAAAGCAGGACTTGGGGGGAAAAGTGTGGCATCTGCTTCTTCTATAAGACTCATTTAGTACATAGCCTATTAAGCTGACTTCCTTTCTTCAGGAAAGCCACTCTGAAAACTAGATCAGGATTGGACTGTTTTTATAACATGGAAACTAAGAAACAATTTGCCCAGAAAAGCAACAACTGAGCTGAGATTTTAATTGGGATTTTTATTGAATTGGGCTAACATATTCATTACTGAACCATATACTAACCCTATACTAAATGCTACACCTTGAAGCTATGCTTGTTATTCTGGGGTTCCTCAAATCTACCTATTAAGAATAATAAACCCTTTGGTTGTTATGATGAACCCCACTAATTGGAGATGGCCAACCTTTCAATCTTATAACCCTGTGCCATTGATAGTTATGTAGATGGTGGTACAGATTTTTAGATACTTATGGCACTATGCCATGTCCAAATTAATTTACTGCCTATTTATGGTCTATCTGTGCAACTGTTACTGATATTCTAATAGTTAGAACAATTGCTATTATCGTTTTACAATAGACCATCCGACCACATTTGTAAAATTCAAATCCATCCCAGTTTGTTGAATTCATGCAACACAGAATTAAGTAAAAAAAGGAAAGAAAAACATACAAATAAAAAATTGAAATGTTTGGGCAAATTAGGGCAAAACTGTGGAAAAGTTACAGGAAAAACTGAATATCTTGTGGGTTCATACAAAGATCCTATATCAGGACCCAAACCCAAGAAACACAGTGGTAATTCTCCAAGCAGATTTGTTTATTGTTCCACACGTATAAACAGAAGGTGCCCTACTGAAGCACTCTACTATCTACATCAAGTGTATACTCTGAGAACTGTTAGGAAGGGGCTGTCTTCACCCTCTTTCTCTCACACAAAATATCTGGACTCATCTGCCTCTTATTTCTCTGGAATGCATACCTTGCCTCCTAGGAATCCAGCCTAGTACATTTCATCACATCCTATTAATTTTTGTATCTGCTAAGAGGTCTGCCTTGGTTGAAATCCATATTGTAGATGTCTTCTTTCACGTTAGCTAACTCTGTATATCAATAAGGAATAACTCTCAAGAGTTGTTTGGCCCTTGCCTTCCTCAGTGTACTCTTGCCCCCCCCCCCCCTTTAGCTTTATTTTAATAGACAGAAGTTTATAAAGCTGAGATGAATGGAAATCTGTTACAGGTCTTCTATGCACAATTATTTATTGAAAATTTCCTGTCGCAGGAAATAGAAGAGGAATGCAGTGCTTGTGACCTATCACATAGCCTGTCAGGCAGGTATGATGGTCAATACATGGAAAAAATGAATCTCCTCGTATTGCTGCCTTATAGAATAACAAACGCTAAACTAGGAAGAAAAATACTGGGCAAACCACAATATATGGTTGATGGACTGCATTTAGCTTGATGGGACAGAGTCCATTTCTGCAGGTTCATGAGATGCCCAGGAATATAGTAGTCCAGGTTCTGATTCTGAAAAGCTATCTTTAGGCCAACTATATTTGTGACAGTCAGTTAAGTTGGTTGGGTCCACTGCAATAATTGCCTAGTGCTTTGGATATTATGGAAATTGAGACATCCTAAGTACAGTGTTGGGAGAATTGTCTTCATTCCCCCCCCCCCCCAGTTTCTATAGATGTTAAAGATGCCCAAAGGATTTTCAGTGTTAAAGTAGAAGTGAAAGCAATTTGGAAGCAAAAAAAATTATTTCTATTCAATGATATTATGAGCAACAGGCAATCCCAAAGGTGCTTTTCTGAAAGGCAGCTGGATTTCATTGGTTTTTTTTCCTTGAAAACATTTTGCTTCTTATCCAAGAAACTTCTTCAGCGGAACTGAAGAAACTTCTTGGATGAGAAGCAAAACCTTAAGGACAACCATGACCTGGGTGATTGAGAACCTCTGTAGATATTGAGCAAAAGGCAAGTTTAGGTTTTCAAGGCCAGCCCTGCTATCACCTCTGTCAGCAAATTCTGGGCAGTAGTAGCAAGTTTTGACAGTAGACAATTAAATAACATAGGATTTGATTTGAAGAAAGATTCCCATGCCAACTTAACAATAGGAGGGAAAGTGCCACTTTATTCCTTTCCTCAGACAGCAACTATAAGTTATTTTCTGTCTCCTCTACTCAAATCTTCTGTACCAACTGAGAAACATCTCCAAGGTAAGAAGCTGGGATGAACTGACCCAGATTGTTCCAATTGATCAATTCCTCCTTTCCCCCAAACCCCAAAATAGAGAGAGAGAGAGAGAGAGAGAGAGAGAGAGAGAGAGAGAGAGAGAGAGAGAGAGAGAGAGAGAGAGAGAGAGAGAGAGAGAACTGGCAGACATAACTTCTCAATGAAAGTGAAACTGTCTTAACCAACCCAAAACGGTTTTGTAAGATTGGTGCTTGTAGATGTGTGGTGACACCAGTTGGCTTGACAGCCCAGTCCTGAAAGGATGCTCAGCCCAGCGAGGGTTATGTGCCTCCATTCCCAAAATGTATACCCATGGCATAAAGTAAAGTAATTGCTGTCTGTAATAATAACAATAAAGCAAGCCCTGAATTTAAAAAAAAAGAAAAAGAATAGAAACAATAATGGAGAGAAGAATAAAAATTCTCCCAGTTTGATTTTGTTCTAAAAATGCAAATGTAGGCTTCCCTCATTTACATGTCTTACAGGATTCCCAGCTGTGTTTGCTACAATACTTAGCATGCACTCCTACTTAGGATTGCTTATTGTAAATTGTGTTCAGTGAGCCTTACAACCTGGAAATGTGGCAAGTACATTTGCAGCCTTTTGAAGAAATGTCCAGTATTTCATTAACCTAGAACTAAGGAGAAACTTCCTGACAGTTAGAACAATTAACCAGTGGAACAACCTGCCTCCAGAAGCGGTGAATGCTCCAACACTGGAGGTTTTTAAGAAGAGACTGGACAGCCATTTGTCCGAAATGGTATAGGGTTTCCTGCCTGAGCAGGGGGTTGGACTAGATGACCTCCAAGGTCCCTTCCAACTTTACT